GGACAGGGCAAGATATGACAAAATAATAATTTATAAATTATCAAGGGTTCATGAGGGAGGGAGGAGCTGGGAGGGAGGGGAAAAATGAGGAGCTAATGCCAGGGGCTTAGGTGGAGAGCACATGTTTTGAGAATGATGAGGGCAATCAATGTACTTTGCACAATTGATGTACGTATGGATTGCCATAAGAGTTGTATGAGCCCCTAATAAAATAATTTAAAATACTAATAAAGCTATTATACATATGAGTTTCTGTGGATTTGTTCCTCTAATGTACCCAGACCAACACAAATAATTAAGGCAGATGGAAGAAATGATGAAGTAAAAGGGATGAAAAGAAATTTTCAAAGGGCAGTTCAAGAAGACAAAGTAAATTATTTTAATATAATGTGCAGACCTAAAGCTAGGAAAACAAAAAAGGAAGAACATGCTCAGCATATTTAAAGCTGAAAAGAACTGAATAAAAAAGTCTTGGGTTACAGCATTAAAAAATAGTCTATATGCAAATATTGGACAATACAGAAAGCAGCAAAGGAAGATGGACAGAATACAGTCAGTGTACCAAAACCAGCTAGATGATATTCAACCATTTCAAGAGGTAGTAAGAACCAACGGTGCTGAAGGAAGAAGTCCACATTGCCCTGAAATGATTAGCAAAAAATGACTCCAGGAATTGACAGAATACCAGGTGAAACATCTCAAAAAGCTGGTGACGCATTGGAAGCACTCACTTGTCTCTGCCATGAAATTTGGAAGACAGCTACTCAGCCAACTAGAAGAGATCCATATTTGTACCCATTCCAAAGAAAGGTGACCCAACAGAATGCTCCAACTATAGAACCATAAAATTGATAGCATATGCAAGTAAACTTTTACCGGACCATCCAGCAATGGTAGTGTCAGTACAGCGACAGGGAGCTCTGCCAGAGGTTCAGGCTGGATTCAGAATAGGACATGGAACAAGAGATGTCATTGCTGATGTCAATTGGATTTTGGCTGAAAGTAGAGACTATCAGAAAGAGGTTTACTTGTGTTTTATTGACTATGCCAAGGCATTGATTGGACTGTGTGGATCACAGCAAACTATGGGTAGCATTGAGAAGAATGGGAATTCCACAACACTGTATCGGGCTCTTGCTGGTCCTTATAAATGGACCAAGAGGCAGTCCTTGGAAAGAATGTGGCATCGGGATCTGAGGAAGAGTTAACAACCTGCAAGGTGCAGGTGACACAACCATGCTTGCTGACAGGAAACAGGCTTGATGCACTTGCTGATGAAGAAATCAAGGATTTCAGTCTTCAGTATAGATTACAACCCAATGTAAAAAAATCCCAAATCTTTACAACTGGATCAACAGGCAACATCATGATAAACGGAGAAAAGATTGAAGCTGTCAAGGACCCTTCCTTCTATGCAGTGTGTGGTTTCTGTGGTAAGGAAATTCGCATCCATCCCTGTTAGGTCCACCAGAATCGAGTAGTTGTAACACAGATCAGATGGTCTACATGTCTACTACAGCTACTATCGATCCCTTTCGGGGGGAAATTGCTGGTCTAATTTAATTCTGAGAGAAAAACCTGTTATTTCAGAGGAATCTGAGGTACCCAGTGTCACTACACTAAATAGCGTCCACTGCTCAGGTGTACCTGTAGTTCCTAATTATCCTGGGTCTGCACCCTATGGGCTCTCCAAGAGTAGTGGAAATTCATCTTAACCGTAACTTGCAACTGTTTGTTCTACAACATGCAGGTTATCTGTATCTCTGTTCAGTGAGGATTTGTGCATAATGGCACACTTCCAGTTAGTAAGCAATTAATGATGGAAATGACTAAGTGTAAATACGTTACTTGGGGATGAAGGAATGTTAACCATGAGCTGCTCTCTCAACACACACACAATATTTACACTGTACAAATCGTTGAGTACTTAGAACAAATAACTTGAACTGGCAATATTTGCAGAGAGGGTATTTAATGACATACGTGCTAAGGGGCTAGCATTATGTGAGACTAGCATTTCATAGGAAAGTAGATGAAGTATTTACTGACAGAAATCAAAGTGAATATGCAAATTTTGACTATTGTTTTCTGTTTGTTCTGAGGAAAGCGAATGAGATAATTTGGTATGTTGTGACATACATGCCAAATACAATTCTATCACAAAGTCATTTTTTTCCTTATGTTTCTACCTTAGTGCAGCAACTTAAATTTTAATATATTTCCACTAATCCTTGAACAGATAGTGAGGTCACCTTTTAGTCAAAGAACAGATTGGTTCATAAAATAAACACTATTATTTGTGAGTACTGTAAACCTTTAAAAGTCATCTATATGCAACAATTACTTTATGGCAAAGACGAAAGAGTTAGAGGACAAGGAAACCAAGTTAATAGAAACAAAACATCTAAAATGGAATTGATGAGATTTTGACATGAGGTGAAACTTTAAATCGAAATCATTGAACAATTGATGTAGTCATTGTTAAGTGGGAACTTAGTTTGTTAGTGTACACCTAGTGTAAACTTATACCAAAAATGCAAATTATTTTAAACAATAGTTCAGCAAACTATTTTTAAATAGTTCAGCTATATTTGTCATATATAACTTAAGAGTAAAAATTACCTACATATGCAATAAGAAATGGTTCACTTGTGCAAAAATCAAACAAACTTATAGAGCCTTCTGAAGAATGATTGAGAATGATTTTGAGACCGCTTCTGGGTTTAAACCACAGTGATCCACCAACAGTGCCTGCAATTGTCCAAGAGCAAGGAGTGATGGCAATACATTTGAAATCTCTGAGTATATAACTCAGGTGTATTAATGCTCTAAATATGAGATTAAAATATCGTGATTTTTTAGAAAACCAGCTTCATTCACCTGCAATAATAATTCATCTTTAGTCTCTTGAAAAGTGGCAAATAGAAGAGTAGAAATACTGACTTATAATTGTAATTCACTATTTTAATAAAAAAAGCTTGCATTTGGTAAGAAAAGATTGAATTTAGTGTATGTTTCAGATGCCTCTGAAATGTATCATCATTCACAAGTGGGTTTAGAGTTTTTTTATTTTACCAAACAACATTGTGCGTCCATGAAAATTTTAATTACTAATTTATGCATATTGAAAGTATTTGAATTGTGATTATATGCACACATGATAATACAATTTAAACGATATTCAACAAAAAGGAGCTCTCCTTCCCATCCCAGACCTCCAATTCTATATTCTATCATACAAAGGCAATCATATTTAAATTTCATCTGTATTTTTTCAAAGACAATCTGTTAACGTAGAAATGTCAATACACCTACAAATACACACATAGCAACATGGAGATTCAGAGGGACAGAGGAAAACGCACACACTCACGTTTGTATACAAAGGAAGTATATGCTAGGTTCTGAAAACTGTTTCTTCCATTTAACAGATCTTTGATATCCTCTAGCATCACAGGTATATATTTTCACCTGCTCTTTTGTTTCCTTCTCTCAATTTTATATAAACATTTCATTCTTACATAAATAACAACCCTGTTCCAGAAGCAGATGACGGCATTAAGAGCTGAGGACTAATACGAAAAAGGACAATTAAACAAATAGACATAGTTCCTTACACACGGCGATACACAGGCTTTGAAATTTAATTATAATTTGTGGTGCTTATATACACAACATCCAAATAACTCAGAAATTATATATACAACGATATATACAAGATATTTGTTCCTCTCATTCTAATTATTCACATCATTGACAATTTTTAAAGTTTTATATTTCAGACTGAAGATCATTTGTAATCATTTTTTTTTTGAAACACTGTTCTCCATAAGAGATTTGGTGTCATGTTTGAACTCTTATTTCCATCCGCTGCTTCAGTGCAAAGAATCATTTTCAAATCCCCTCATACACAATGAGGTGTGACTTCTTGCTAAAGGCTTTTTGACATCCGTTAAATAAAAAATGTTCCTAACTTAAATAAAAGCCTCCGTTCAATCTTAAAAGTTTTCCTACATTCACTTTACTCCTGAGATTTCACTTTTGAGTGAGTTTTCACGTGTTTGGTCAGGGAAGTATTCTGTTTGAACGATTTCCCACATTCACTGCATTCATAGGGCTTCTCGCCAGTGTGGGATCTCTGATGTATCACAAGCTGTGATCTTGCACTGAAAGCTTTTTCACATTCATCACATTTATAAGGTTTCTCCCCAGTGTGCATTCTTTGATGTACGATAAGGTGTGCCTTCTGGCTAAATGATTTCCCACATTCATTACATTCATATGGTTTCTCTCCAGTATGGATTCTCTGATGCTGAGTGAGGCCTTCAATTTGTTTGAAGGCTTTTCCACATTGATTACATTCAAAGGGACTTTCACCCGTGTGAGTTCTCATGTGGTAAGTAAGAGATGAGCTGTGTCCAAAGGTTTTTCCACATTCTTTACATTCATAGGGCTTCTCCTTAGTATGAGTTCTTTGATGTATAATTAAGTGTGACTTTTTACTGAAAGCTTTCCCACATTCCTTACATTCAAAGGGTTTCTCACCTGTGTGAATTCTCATATGTTTAGTAAGGGAGGAGCTATACTTGAAGGCTTTTCCACATTCGTGACATTCATATGGTATTTCACCTGTATGCGTTCTCACATGTTCAGTAAGAGAGGAGTTATATCGAAAGGATTTTCCACATTCCTTACATTCATAGGGCTTCTCCCCTGTATGAGACCGCACATGTTGCATGAGGTTTGAGCTATGTGTGAATGTTTTCCCACATTCTGTACATTCATAAGGCTTTTCACCAGTATGAATTCGTAGATGATCAGTGAGGGCATGTTTATGACCATGGGCTTTGCCACACTGACTACATTCATATGGTTTTTCTCCAGTGTGAACTCTCTGATGTACAACAAGGTGAGACTTCTGGCTAAAGGCTAGCCCACATTCCTCACATTCATATGGTTTTTCCCCAGTATGAATTCTCTGATGATCAGTGAGTCCTTGCTTATGGCTGAGAACCTTCCCACACTGGTTACATTCGTAGGCTTTCACTTTAGCTTCAGTTTTGTCACACTTAGTAGAAGACGAGTTATGGCAGGATGGTTTCTTACGTTTCTTTCCAGTTTGAGTGTTGCCACACTTATCAGATGAGCTATCACTGGATAATTTCTCATGTTTCTTCCCAGTCTGGCGTTTGTGTTTCTTGGTATCAGACAAACTACAACTGAGTGATTTCTTGTGTTCTTTAGCTGCAGCAGACTTCTTTTTCGCACCATTTCTTATATGTACAGTTAAGTCTACGCTCTGTTTCAAACTCTTTCCATGTGAATCAAATTTTAGGCGCTTTTTGGGGGAAGAAACATGTTTTGCACTCACATTAACTTTTTTCTCCAGTGAACTACACTCAAGGCCTTTCTTTCTTGACAGAAGTTCCTTCTTGAGTCCAGTTTCCTTAGAGTGTTTATTTTGAGACTCCTGGTGCTTCTCTGCTGGGTCATCATCTTGCTGGGCTTCTTCTAAAATGGAATTCAATGAGATATTGTTATGAATCTTTCTACCTCATATAAACTTACTGCCATGAAGTTCATTCTGACTCATAGTGACCCCAAAGGACAGGATAGAACTGCCCTGTGGGTTTCTAAGACCGTAACTCTTTATGGATGTAGAAAGCCTCATCTTTCTCCCAAGGAGGGGATGGTGGTTTCAAACTGCTGACCTTGCAGTTAGCAGCCAATGAGTAACCTGTATGCTAATGGAGCTCCGGCCCCAATATAATGGAATGAAATGTATAATGAAATGCCCTGTTGTATGGGGTGATTCTTTATTCAAGCCTAGTCTCCCAAAGTGAAAGAAGTATCAAGTGAAACGGCCCCCATCTTCTTGGACTTGCTGTAGTTATAACAGGGAAAGAAAAACAACAGTGATTAGAAATACTTTTACTTATCTGCAAAGATGAATTGCAATTTAGGCTAGAAGATGAATTAACACAAGGAGCAATAGGTATGGAATAAATGAAGCATTGCCATCCATTGTAGCTGACATTTTTTAAAAGTCTCTATCTAGTTTAAGTGCCCAGCTCTGATAACTGCCAAGTCACCCAGTGGCTTCCTGGGGCTGGGCTACATTACCACAGCTTTCTAGAGTCCAGTCAAGAAATCCATGAATATTCTTCCTCGTAAAATGTATATTCTAGTCTCCACTGGATGCATACATTGAATTAATGATGGCTTTGTTACTGTGAAGTGCTGTCAAGTTAATTGTCTACTTACTGCAACCCCATGAGACAGAGTAAAACTGCCCCATGAGGTTTTCTAGATTATAATCTTTCTGGAAGCAGATTGCAAGATCATTCTCCTACAGAGCCAATGAATGGGTTAAAGTCACCAACTCTTGGTAAACAGTGAAGTGCTTAACTATTGCACTACAAGGAATATTTTTAAGATGGTTCTGATATGTCATATACTTTTGCATAAACAGAAAGCTCATTAGTAGAAATAATTAGACTTAAGTATATAGAGCAGATATATAACAAAGATAAATGTCCCCAATGAGATCATTTGCATAATCTCAATTTCTAATGATTTCCCAATTCCTGGTACTTCTTGGGAAGGTCTGTCTGAAATATATGCCCTTAGGGTTACAATATATATATGAGAAGGCTTCAAAAACTCATGGAAAAATGGAATTGAAAAAAACCAAACAAACCATTTTCCCATGAATTTTCAAAGCCCCTTTATAGGTCTATGTTTCTGTATTAAATTAATAACAAGTAAATATTTGTCATGCAACCAAAAAGACCAGAATGAAGACAATATGATGAGTATTGAATACTTTATAGATGACTAAGCAAATAAACAGGAAAAGATATTCCACTGTATCACTGTGAACAGTATAATAATGGCAATCTGTGTTTTTATAAAAACCCTATAAATATTCTGAATTCTTTCTCTTTCTCTCTTTTTAAAACAAATTATAAAGTTCTCAGTACATAGCTTTGCAAACTTGACATCATCTGAGTTTACTGTATACACATGAGCTTGTTTCTTATAGTTTATAATGGAGCACACCTGTTCTTGTCAGATCAGGCCACTAATTGATATTGTAGAGTTTATAGCCTTGATTTTCTTTTTTTCCTACCATAGTCTGAGCATTGTGGTAGACTGTGTCATTTGGATTTCAGTACTCTTCCTTGTGTAAGGATTTCTCTTCTCTTGAACTCAGGAGTGGCCAGGAGTTCTACTCTAACCAACACTATGCAGATGGGCAAAGAGACTTACAATCAGCAATCTTGAGTTATTATGTGGATCCACTCACCCTTTTTCTTTTGCCAAAAGGCTAGCATGTTCCATACAAAAACTGCACCTTCAACCTAAGTCCCCAAATACAGATAATGTGGAATATGGCCACCACTTGGTCAAGAATTCAGTCTTTCTTGTTGTAAGCGATTGCGATTCTGGGCTCATTTCTTAATGGAATATATCTTATCTTAAGCTGACTAGTACCAGTAACTTAACCAAACTCCCGTAAGTAAGAATGTATTGTTATATAGTGAGCCCTCCACAGGAACCTCTCATATGGAAAGGTTCATAGGAGGAAAATATCAAAATCTCCAATGTTAAAGCATCTTTGTAGTTTGGCTCATCCTTCCCTTGGGTTACTCTAACTTCCTATTACTACTTCCTAGTTAACAAAGAAGGATCTTAGGTCTTTAAAAATAATTTTAAAATTAATTATTTTCTGAAAAATTCCAAAGTTACCAAACAAGGAACTTACCTTCACTGGCTTCTCTGTGCTTCTGTCTTGCTAGTTCACTCACACAGCCTGGCCGTGGCCTCTTCTTCTTTCTCAGCCATGGCTCCTCTCCTTTTTCCAACTTGGAGATTATGTCTGATGGGGCAGTTTCATACCCTGCTCATAGGAAATGGCAGGAATTAAATGCAGAGCAGCAAGTACCATAGAAATCCAGCCCTGGCACATGAGCCCCGGGTCGTTGTATGAGAAAGAAGTTGGGACTTCAAAGGTTTTACAATGTACGTGTCCCTGTACTTCAGCTAAGTCTACCTTCCATTTCGGAAGTGCAGGTCCAAATATCCCTTCTACTGTCCACTAGGGACTGAAACTTTTTGACCCATAAAAATCAAGGTCAAACTGATCAAAGACTTCAGAGAGATAGCATCATAGCAGACACGTTTGTAATGACAACGTGATTGTCCTTACCCATTGACGCTACATTGCTGTAGTTCTCCAGCATCACATCCTTGTACAGGTCCTTCTGAACAGGATCCAGTTGCTCCCATTCCTTCTGAGTAAAGGCCATAGTCACATCTTTGAGTTTTACCATCCCCTGTAATTGTACATTACATCCTTGTTCAGTCTAGTGTTGTCCACATCCAGAGGAAGATTTTGACGAGATAATAACTTGTTCTTATCTTGACCGTACAATATTGACAAAATCCTTAGAGGATGCCTATTTTCTACCCCATTTTGGTTTTTTTTTAGAAATAAATATTATATTATCAATGACCCTGTCATGGATTTTATTTATGAAGATAAATTAAAATGTCACTATTTTATCAAAATTTTTTATGTCTTTTTTCTGTGCTTCTGCTACATTGTCTTTTTTTTTTTTAATCATTTTATTGGGCGCTCATACAACTCTTATCACGATCTATACATGTTGATGTCTCTTTTATAACAGTGGATGCTTGAAGGCTTTGGGAAAGTGTTTATAGGGTTCTGAGATAGAAGGACGGGACCTCTGGTTTTTATAACCAGTCAAAAGATAATTCATGTATTGTGAGCAAAAGAAAGACAATTTTAGCATAATGCACACTATGTACACTTTATAAAGAAAGAGGGAAATCAGGATGAAATCACACAAAGAAAGAGACATGGCAAGGAGGGGGGAAAGAAAGAGAACAAGGAGATGAGGGAAGATTTGGGGGAAAAAGGGAAGATTTTTGAAGAAAGAAAAAAGATCAGAGTAGAGAATTTGAGATTAAAGAAAATTTAATATATGGAGCTTTGTATGGAAGTTATCATATTGGTGAGTGCTTTGGAACATACATTTTCACCACAATGAAAGAGAGCACTGTGAGGAATAGAACCAGTTACATGTCTCGTTAAGTAATTTAATGTGCTTATATGACTGTTATGTTATAGCCTTGAAATCAAGAAATATAATGGAAGAATACTAAGCAAGATTAAACTATAAGTTCCTACTATCACTGGAAGAAAGATGGGCTTTCTACTCCCATAAAGAGTTACAGTCTTGGAAACTCACGTGGGGGCAGGGCTGCCCTGTCCTATAGGGTCATCAGGAGTCAGCATTGACGTGATGGCAGGGAGCATGGGCTTGTTCGTTTATCATTGGAAGGGGATAGGGACAGAAGAATATAAGCCATGCTTCAGCTCTTTTACTCATCATGAAAGGAGAATGAGCAGTTATTGAAATATGATATGTTCAAGCATATCTGTTTAACATTGAACGATAATGCACTACACCTACAGGTCACCGATAACTTGCTTGCATGTCACCAAACTCTAACCCTACAGACTTCCAATCACTGACTCCCAATAGCCCTCGAATACTGGTCCCTGTCCTACCAATCACTGAGCGATGCGGTCCTTCATAATCACTGAGCGCTATAATTCCAAAAGGACTGCCCCACGTAAACCTCCCAATTACAGCAGCTGCCTGCTTCTAAAGACACGCCAATCGTTTATTCCCACAGGATTCTCATTCACCGATATCCGTGCAACATGTTGAGTTGTACCTTCCTTGTGACCCAAACACTGACTCCTCCGAACACCCACATACTTTTATAGAAATCTTAATGACTGACTGTCAGCAAACTCCCTTACGCTTTCAATCTCGTCAGGCCAACCCTTTGCTTGCTTGCCTTCTCTGAAGTCTACTTTTCTCCTGAGAGGCCTGTGGCACAAGCCACTTGTGATTGGCTACTAACCTAAAGGTTGGCAGTTTGAATCCACCGCTCAGTGGTTCTGGGGAAGAAAAGGGCTGCCTGCTGAACTGCTTCCATAAAGATTACAGTCATGAAAACCCTGAGGAGCAGTCCTCATTTGTAACACATGGGGTCACCACGAGTTAGGGGCTTACTCGACCACAGTTGACAACAACCACCTCTATCTCCAAAAGGTCCTACTTCCTTTCAGAGTTCTCTAGTGGCGTTATCTGTCTTCCTGCTCCAGCCTACACATCCCAGGGACCTCCGCGCCCCAAGATGGGGTACACGACTACGTTCCATCATTCCTCCTGCCTCTCTCCAAACCCCTAATTCATTTAGAGTGTCCTCACATCTATACTCATTAATCTTCATGATTGGTATTATCTATCAACTTCTTACTCATTGTGTTGGGAGTCCCCAAGAACACCTCCTGGTTCAACGGCTGCCTAGGAGTGATCCAGGACCCTGACTATAAAGCATCATGCACATGGCTATAATTAATTACCCAAAGGGATACAAAGCAAAGTCAGCAAAGGGAAAAGGTGAAGGAGTAAAGTCCAACAAAAGCTAACATGAGTCCTCTCCTAATGGAGTCACACGGGCTACCCTTAACTCCTCCACCAACGAACTGTGACAACACATGGACACTGTTATGCACAGGAAGGCTGTACAGTCAGTGCATACGGTTTTACTAAGGCTCTTTCTGCCTCACACAGAACAATTCCAGATTTCCAGAAGGAACGCAGCTGTGCAGAGAAAGCCAAGTTGTTTGTAAACTGTCCAGGCACAGGTTTAGGTATCATGGGAATAATTTTCACTGTTATCAAGTTGAGTCTGACTCATAACCATCCTATAGGACAGGGTCGAAGTACTCCTGTGGGTGTCCAAGGCTGTAGCTCTTTATGGGGTCCTACAGTTAGGCACGCGGTGCATAACTTTTACACCACTAGGAATTCCTGTGGTAATACTGGCCCCATCTAGATTTCCAGATGTCAATGGTGGTGAAATGAAATTACTTGACAGGCTCTTCTAGCCATAGTCTGGATCCTCCTCCTCCCTCATGTTCCATATCAATCCTTCAGCAAGTCCTATTGGATAGCATGGGTGAATTGCACAATTCCTGAAAGTGTTCAAAGAGCTAAAAAATATTGTCAGAACCATTGCTGTAATTTCAGAAGAAGAGGGAAGGGGTTTTTCAAATATGAACACAGCATGTTTAGAGAAGAGAAGTTGCCTAAGTGTTTCTAATATATCAAACACAATGCCTATTGTCCAACTGGCCCACCTCTAAAAGAATAGGACCCTACTCCTACAGTGGAAAGATGGTTAAGGAGAAATCACGCAGCTCAGATAAAAGCGAAGAATACTGCATGTGAGGCAGCCAGAAGCAATACTCCCGGGAATATCTTAAATAACAATTTTATTGTTTTGTCAGGTATCATTTAATACCTTCTCACAATATTCTAAAACTTGTGGCATAATCTAATTTTGTATACCTCTTTTATTCTTAAGTATTAACTGAAATAATTAACTAAAAAAGATATAATAAACTACCTTTCAAAATCTTTTTTTAATACTTAAAACACTCATTATGGTAGCAAACTGGTTGTTAAATTATTTGAATTCCACCACTGTCTCTACCACAAATACCCTTTTTCCCTCAGAGCACTTATCAGTATCTGGGATTATCTTATTTGTTTATGTATTCATTGCCTCTTTCCTAGTTCTAGAATGTAAGGATACTGAGAGGGAGGGAGAGATTCTAGGTCTTTTTGAGGCTAGAGTCCCAGTACAGTGAACCCTCGTTTATCGCGGTTAATCGGTTCTAGACCCTACCGTGATAAATGAAATTCCGCGAAGTAGGATTCCTTATTTGTAAAT